ACAGCAGTAGATGTACAGGTAGGAAAAATCTGCAAATTTGCAAGTTCATTCATAATGCCTTAAGTCGAGTATACTTGCCAGCAACAGGTAATTTGACAAAGGCGAGGGGCATTAAGTTGAGAGAAACGCTCTTGAAGATCGGTCCAAATCTCATATGCACTTTCAGCATAAATAACGCTATTTGCCAATTCTTTAAAGAGGGAATTGAGGATACTATCAAAGTCTATGTTAATCTCATTATGGAGATGAATATATATATATACAGAAAACAGAGGAGGTAATACAGAAGAAAATAAAGGAAAAGATTACATCACGTTGGCTAAAACAATAATAAGCAGAATCAATGGAATATACATTTTTCTAACAGTGAATCACTAGGAAAATTCATTCGGAACCCCAGATTACCTGGGAAAATTAAAATTTTTGCGTGGAGGGCTTATTCTGATACCTTCCCAAAACAGCAAAATCTCATACAGAGAAAGGTACAGGGAGATAATGCATGTTTCTTGTGCTTTTCTTCAATTGAACCCATTGAGCACCTTCTTCTACACTGCTCTTTTGCCAAACAGGTCTGGTGGAATTCTGGAATTAGTATGACATATGGACCATTAAGTAGGGTCCATGAATGGTTATGCTCTGTTTCGAACACTCTACTGGCGGATCAATCAAATTTGTTGGTAGTGATTGCTGGGTATATTTGGTTTAACAGAAATAGGGCAAGAGTGCAGCTCGAGGTTTACTTTCCAAAACAACTAGTGGAACTCTCTTGTGTCCTATTTGAACCAGTTTCAAGCTACACAGGATGTAGGGACCATGGGGATAAATCAGATCAATGGAACAAGCCATGATAAATGGTATGCTCCAGAAACATGTGTGTTCAAAATCAACTTTGATGGAGCAATATCAAGTGAGAAGGGGATGCTAAAGGTGATTATCGACTCTATTGTTGCGAATCAGAGGTGCCTCCGGGATATTGGTCATTTTGTGGACTGCATATGCATATCATATATCTTTTCTCTAGCTAAGTATGCTTTTATTTGCCTGGATTACCTTGTATGGAGAGAACGACCACTGGATTTTCTGCTTTCTTCTCTCCAATCTGACATTTCAAATTCCTGATTCATAGAAATTATATTGTTCCATATCAAAAAAAAAAAAAAAAAGAATTTCAAAAACTGACTCACATGCATGGATAAGAAGAAATAGGAAAAGAAACATGCTTTCAGCTGCAAAGATATGCATGTGGCATCGGTGTGGGCGTGTGTGTGTGAGAGAGAGAGAGAGAGCCTCCAGCAAACTTTAGGAAACTAATAATTCCTGTTTTTACAACTGAACTAAGTGTATCTGGGTGTGCGCGCGCGCGCGCAGGCGAGAGCGAGCCCGTTCTACGACCCCTAGAGCAAAAATTAGGAAACTGCGGCCGGAAACAGATTTTTGTTCTCAAAATTTTAAAAATATCAAAAATATGTTTGTTTAGTATTTTTATTATCTAAATTTTAGAAAAAAAAATGAGATTTGAGTCAAAAAAATAAAAAATAATTGTAACTTGTTTTCAGAGTTTTTTTTTAAAAAATTTGAAAATAAAGAGAATAATATATATATACTAGTCATTACCTGAATGCACTATACAACAAACAAATTTTTTTTAAACAATTGTCCAAATTCAAAAGAAATGACCTAAAAATATTCATACAAATTCTTCTTTTAAAATAACTCAAAATATATTGTTGATAATATCCTCTATATTAAAGGAACTGTCATAAAAATATATAAAAACTCTTCAAAATAACACCACATATATAAATGCCTATGAAAAAAAAATACTAACATAATCCATTAAAATTTATAATATTTAAGTAATAAATTAAATAAATAAAATTTTATTCATTTATAAGACTCACGAATTATCACCTCTACTACCACTTCGTTCAATAACACAACATAATTATCAACTCAACTACCATATTTCCAATCCACCCTATCTCCATGTAATATTAATAGAATATAATTAAATTCACAATCTTTAAACGGTAAATAAAATCAACCAAATTTTACTTTTTTTATAAACTTATGAATTTATTATCACTATCACCATTCAACCCCAAATGACACAATATAATTATAAATTTAATCACTAAATGTTTAACCTTCCATATATAAATATACACAAAAACACACTCATACATTTCTTTTGTGGTACCAACAAACTCTTATAACCAATAATTGTTTTTATTAAAAATACAATAATTTAAGTTTTTAAGGTAAAATAATAATATATTAATGTTTAATTAAAAAATAGGGAAAAAAAACTAAAAATCATGGATATTCCCTGATTTTTGGAAATATTGCACGAACACCTCATGATATTTTATAAATAACACGGAGACCCCCTGAAATTTGTTATTCATTGCACAGAGACCCCCTCTGTCTCCCTTTCGTCAATGTTGCAAACGAAAATTAATAAATTTATCCTAAAAATTTTATTATTTTTACATTTGTCCTTCTTCAAATTTAGTACCAAAAAAATTAAAAATTTAATAAAATAAAATAAAATTTGATTTAGTACTCAAAAAATTGATATAATTTAGTACTCAAAAAATTAATTAAATAAATTTTAATATTAATTTGATATTCGATAAAGTTGAATATAAATTAGAGAAAATTAAGTGTCAATTTTTGATAAAAATATATATTAATTTACAATCTAAGGTTCATTTTATGTTAAATATTATTTGGTGTTTATAGTCAATGTGTTATTTTTTATTTACATTCAGTGTTATTTACAAATTAAGAAGCAAGTGACAAAATACATACGGTCAGATGTATAAAAATTTTGAATTAATTTCAAGGAATAAATAATTTGATGACATGTAGTTTTCATATGTTTTATGGAGTAAATAATAGCAAAAACATCACAAAAGAAAAAAAAAAAAAAGACAATAGTACGAGAGAGAGAGAGAGAGAGAGAGAGTGTGTGTGTGTGTGTAAGATAGATAGATAGATAAAGACAATTATATAAAAGACTTAGAGTTATAAAAAAAATGAAAGTCTAATTATGACCATTAGATCAAAACGATCTAAGCCGCGAAAAGTTAAAGACAAATAATCTTACTACTTTATTAAATAGACTAGTCATTGCTCATATCTAAAGACACTGTATAACCCATAAAAAAATCGCAAGTAATTCTCCATCTTGAAAGAGAAAGCGGGTCAAAAATATTCATACCAATTCTTTTAAAATGACTCGAAATATATTGTTGATCATATCCTTCATATTAATAGAACTATCCCAAAAATGTATAAAACAAATTTTCCAAAACAATATCACATATGCAAATATCTAGTGAAAAAAAAAATACTAATGAAATCTAATAAAATTTATAATTTTTAAGTAATAAATAAAATCTTAATTATTTAGAAGACGTATGAATTTATCACCATTCAACCAAATAACACAATAAAATTATAAATTCAATTACTTGTTTTTTTAATGCTATTAGCTTGAGCTTTAATTTTTTTTTTTTGGTACAATTGGTATCATTTGTTAATTTTTATTGGTAATTAGCTTGACTTTGCATGTTTACAACTTTAAAATTATTTTTTTTTAGCATTCAAATATTTTTTTATTCTATTATAAAATTACTCAAATATTTAACTTTATTATTTTTTTATCGGTGATTAGCTTGAATTTGAATGACTACGACTTGGGAAAAAAATTTTATAGTTGGTTTTGAATATTTTTTTTGGTGCAATTAGTTTCATTTATTTTTTTTATTGGTCATTGTTGTTTTTTTATTGGTAATTATCTTGGTTTTGATTTTTTTTTTTGTGCAATCGATATCACTTATTATTTTTTATTGGTGATTAACTTGATTTTGATTTTTTTGATTTTTGTGATTAGTTTAGCTTTGAATGTCTATGAATTTTTTTGTTAACATTTAAATATTTTTTCTTCTATAAAATCATACAAATGTATGACTAAGAAGTACCGAAAATAGCAATAGCATATTTCACACATAACATTTAACATTAATAAAATCATGTCTAAGCTACAAATTTTGAATAAAAAAGCACAAAAAATAACAATACACATTTAAAACATAACATTCACTCACAAAGGTAAATGAATGCGATAGAGAGAGTGTCTGTAAGAGAGAGATAGAATTATATGAGAGATGAGAGAATGTGTATTTGAGAGAATGTATATATATATATATATATATATATATATATATATATATATATATATATATATATATATATATATATATATATATATTTAAAAGAGATATGAGATAGAGAGAGAAAAAGAGTTACATGAGATATGAGAGACTTAGAGTTATAAAAGAAATGAAAGTCCAATTAGGATTGTCAGATCAATAATTCTCAAACGATCTGAGCCGCGAAAATCACAAGACAAACAATTTAGCTACTTTATTATATAGAAATAAAGAGAGAGATGAGATGAGATAGTGTATTTAAAATGTCTTAGAGATAAGAGAGAGAGAGAGAGTTATATGAGAGATAGGAGTATTAGAGTTAAGTTCAATTACGACCGTCAAATCAATATTTAGAAGATTATCTGAACTGTCTTTTATGTTTGGATTACTTATATTTATTTATATGTATATATACACATTTGTATATACATACATATATACATATATATATACACACACGTATATTTATACATGTATATATAAAAACGTATATACATATATATATTGTGTGTGAGGGGTGTATATTTATACATGTATATATATATATATTGTGTGTGAGGGGTGTATATATATATATATATTAAAGTTTGATTTATTGAATTTTTTTTAATGAATTTGTCAATCTAAAAATAATTTTTTTATATTTTTTTATTAATGTTTGAATTACTATTCAAATATATATTTAAGCTATTCAAACAAATTTTACTATTTTCTGTATTGTAAAATTATTTTTGAAATCATCTAACCAAACAAATTTTTTATCTCAAAAAATATCAAAATCACTTTCTTTAAACTCTTTTCAAAAACTGTTTTCGGATACTATTTTTTGAAACGCAAATCATGCAGTCCCTGCAATTCTTGATTTTACATCTGAACTAGCAAAACTGCTCACAAACCAGCTACAGTTAAAAGAACAAGAAGAGGAGAAATCAAAATGAAAGAACAGAATTACTTAGCTATTTCTACAGAAAGTCAGAAGGGGAAAACAATCAACTTCCTGAGACATAATCTAACTGAATGTCAATCCCAACTTCTCTGGAATTCAAACACTTGGATTTAAGAATTTGATGGGCTCTCCACATGCTTGTTCCCTGTGCCTTTTAAGATCTGATCATCCTCAATCAAGATGGAGCTGTTTTCACCCGCCACTGGTCCATTACCCTCAGATCGAAACTGATCCTCCTGTAAAGGTTCCATCCGACAGTTCTCATGCAGTCTCGAAGAGAGCCCATGGCCAGGTGATAAAAAGCAAAACGGATTTGTGTCAAGGGACTCCATGTCATATTGATATCGGACAGCTGAACTAAACATGGGTTGCATCAAGCGCTTTTTCTCAGGATGATCACGCAATGAAATACGGCAAATAGGACACGTGGAATGCTGCTGCAGCCATATGTCAATACAGGTTGCATGATAGGAGTGTCCACAGAAAGGTAGGATGCGCAACGTATCTTCTTTATAATATTCCACAAGGCAAACCGTGCACCTAGGACAGCGAAATTTTTCCAGATGTAATATAAAGGGTGACTGACTACAGAAATATAATAAGTATAGATATCCTTTGGACAAGGAAACTACATCCCACAATTAAATGCACACAAGTAGGCAACCTCCCACAAAAGTAAGAATGCACTGGCAATGATGCCAAGTAGTGACGGTTCATTCTACAGTGGAATGTAGTATGTCCCTTTGTATAGAGCAAGCTTTGGAAAGTAATATGACACTTTGCAGGTTTTTGTGAATGTGATAGTAGCTCACGCTTTTACTTCGCTTGAAGTCCTTGGCCGATTGAGTGCAAATTGGGTAATTAAGGGAGATGTCTTGAATTCTTTTCTGCACAGTGTTTCAGTTTTGGAAAAATTATTTGCAGAACATATTGACCTCCAAGCAAACTGTACAAATCTATCAAGTTAACTATCATCTATGTCAAAGATATAGTTGGGCATGCAGATGACTAAGTTTTGTTGTGTGTGTTAAACTGTATTGACTTGCCAACTCAGACTTTCCTAAATTTTGGTACCAATAAGTAAGGACAGAATTAAGCCTAGTTTCATATTGTTGCTTGATCATTCAACCATTCAAAATGCAGGAAAGTGAAAACACAAGATGTGACTAGCCCCATTATTCGGACAAGTTTTTGCAATAATGGATGAGGAGGGAGATGGGGTTGTTTGCTTAATTATATTGTGCATCTTGCAAGGTGAGAGTGGAACAAGATGATATAAAGGAATTATTAGGTATTGCACAAAGATTTGGGAAAAAAGCCTGCGGACCAGAAGGAATTAGGAGAAAAGGATAAAACTAGGGGTGAGGTGAATGCGACATGTTCTAACCAGCACAAAAATGGCTAGTGAGGTCACAAAGGAGGTTGCAACATTCTGAACCTGACACACAGCCTCGAAGAAAAGAATACACAAAAACTAGACATACAACAGCATGTCACTCCTTGCAAGTTGAATAATCATACTAGCAGTGTAGCATAAGCATTTGTTGATATTCAGACCCAGAATAATACCCTAACTAGGATTTCATAGAGTTGTACACAAAGCAGCCACATATATTGGTTCCTGATATGAAAGAACTACACATAATGAGAAAAGAATCCAATCGCCCACAGTTCAGGTTCTATCTGAATCCAATCACTTCAATCATTGTTGAAGTAAACTTGCATACTGAAAAAAGTACTCTCAAAGATGAATGTATGCAAAAGGAATATGCAAAACACGACATTTGCCAAATCTAACCTAAACCAGCAATGTTTAGAGCACATTTGGTTTGGAGGAAACATAAGTACAGGGAAGGGAACATAAAAAGAGGAAAGCAAAGAAGATATAGAATAGAGAGAAAATAAAGAAGGGAAAGAAAATAAAACATATCCTTCCTTTCTCTTCTTTTCTATCTCAACAAAGCACAGTGTAAGTTGTATACTAACATACAATTCCTCCTCAAAAACATCATTTCACTTTTCAGTAGCAGTTTCTAATGCATACTAAATAATTTTAAATTAATTGGGTCCATGAGAGAGTGAGATTTGTGGTTCAAGTGCCAGGACAACTCAAACATACCAACCGCTCTGTGTTGTCCTTCAAACCATCTAAAACTAAACCCAGCACAAGTCAAACACAACATCTCCAGTGCTTTAGTGAACAAAGAGAGACATGTGCCGGTCACTGAGACATCTGTGCATATTAATCTTATAGTTGAGGGATTGACAACTGGAAGGAACATCATCAAACCAATAATCATCCCAATATCATCCTCTAACCACAGACAACCAGAACTATAATAATCTTAAGGTCAGCCTTGGTGAAGAAAACCCAATAGTATCAACTATTACAAAATTTCTACATGTTATAGGAATGAGAAATGCCTAGCAATTAATAATGATGCCCATGGTCGCTAGAATATTTGTGCTTGATTCCCAATGGTAAGAGTATGATGGACTACCCTGCACATTATTTCAAGTGATCCTATTTTTATAGTTTCTGATCTAAGCTTTCAAACTTGATGCAACAATTAGAGTACCAATACGAAGCTTTACAGATATCTGTGTCAAATGCTATTAAACCTAACCTGCTTCAGATAGTCATAGTGTTTATAGAAGGAAAAGCCTTTTAATGAAGTCAAAGTAAATAAACTAGCATTGGGTTCACCATCCAATTTTAGTCCAATCACCAAAAGTAAATCCAGCAGCAGTTGAATTATTCCTATTCTTCAAACAGCAGTGATAAGTTTCAACTAAGAGCTACTTCCTACTAGAACAGCACAGCTTTAACAGAATATTTTTCAAAAAAATTGAATAAATTATTAATTCTTTTGTTTCTTTTTCTCTCACACCACAAGGATGTAGAGGATTGCTAATAAATTATTCCATTCTCTTTATCTGTGACGTTGCTCACCCACAAACTTTTTGGACGTGTAGAATATGTCGGCAGTTGCTTTCTATTATCATGAACTGCACACAAAATTTCTCATGGACACTCGGTATTCCATATCAGGACAAGCACAGTGGCATCACTTCCGTTGTCAAACAACCCTTTCCCAGAATAAAGGCTGATCAAATTATTAGAGTCATGACCTTATGCATGTTTATTATGTTCCTATTAGTCTCTTCCCCAAGACTCATCTGATTTCCATAACTATCCAAAAAAAAAAAGCGATAAATTATCAAAACATCATCCACTTAATATAGCCAGAGTCATTATCGCAAGACTCAAGCAAATAATATCACTTACTGAGCATCTTTTGCAGAGGAAAAAAGAGGATCGCTGTACTTCTTTGTCGGAAAATTGGCTACAACAAGCGGATCAAGTCCATGTAAACCCCGTTCTAGCTGTACCACAGGATGAGGGAACAATTTATTAGGTCATGATTTTTTTTTTCAATAAGTATTCAATAAAATTGGAGCGATATAGAAAATTAACACATGCCACGCACAAATCGAGAAATGATCCAAAATTTTCATTTCTATGGGTCCGTAGCTCAGAGCATTAACTGCATTATTAGTCAATGATAGCAAAAAGAGATTCCAAAAAATTTTAAAATATCCAATGGTATGAAATATATGAAAAGAGCAAAAGACAGGAGTTAGTCCTTATAAAGAACAAGAAGTACAAATAAAAACAGCCCACTTTAAATAAGAAAACAAACAAACAAACAAAAGGAGAAAAGAAAGCTGTAGGAGTACACCAACAAATAGAAGAGATAAGCCAAGACCCGAGTGACAATGTAGAAGGCATATCATACAGAAATCCAGATCAAATGGCCAGTAAAGTAACTAAGAAATATGAGCATGTACCACTGAATAGGAAATGAAGGAATGCTTACTATGCTAAGATCAGATCTAGAAGCCATAGGGAAGGCCCCCCTTGAAGCAGTCAATTGAATTCGGGCACAAATGAGCCTTGTGCAAACAAATACAATGAACATGGTACTCACTGCAAAACCTATCACTGTCATCACTAAATTTATCCCCGAAGACATTATTTATTTCTCTGTTTCTCCCCCACAAAACCCAATTCACTTTCAAGTATTGTCCTCTTCAGTGTTTACTACAGATCCCTATACTTGGATTCCCATCAAGTCCCAATTTTGGGTCCATTCACAAGTACTAACAGCCCATCTCAAAAGTGTACCCATCTCACATGATCAGTCAATCAAGAACAGCACGCCTCAATCGCAAACATCAATTCATAGCCACCCATTATCACATCACTCCCTCTCTCTCTCTCTCTCTCTCTCTCTCACACACACACACACACACACACACACACTCTTTCTCTGTAAAAGCCTTGTCTTCAAATCAGCTTTATTTTGTCAAGCAAGAAGCTCTCTCTCTCTGTCTCTCTAAACCAGGCGTTGTATCTTTGGAAGATAAGGTTAAAGGTAAATGCTGTCACTGCTTTTGAGCTTCAGTTATATAAGCCATGGTGGCCGGCGGGAAGGGGCTGAAACAGACACTCATCTTGGGGAGGGGGGGAAGGTAAAAAGAGCGTTGGGTCTTAGAGAGAGAGTGTGATCGGTGAGTGATTAACAAATGAAAAATGGCAGAGGGAGAGAGAGATATCTGAGATCCGAATCCATTGGTATTGTTGTTGTTACTGGAATAAGCAGGTGGACCTTGGACTTGACCAGACCAAATCAGAACCAAATGGGCAGAGCAGAGGAACATTACTATAATTTATCTTAACTTTTCCTTCTTGAAATTGATGTCCTTTTTTTTGGATCAGAAAGTTGATGTTCATTGCAACATCATAAATTTTATGGTGCGCACCAATTACTGTTGGGTTTTTCAGAAATTTTCATCCAAAAAACGAAGAAGAAAAATAGGGAGAGTTATACATTCAGATATCTTGAATTCTAATTTTAGTAATCTCTTTGGATCACATTATAAAAAATTTATCTATCATAAATAACCTAATTTTGACTATATTTGACCAAACTTGAAAAAAAATTAGTTGAGGTGCGCGTAAATAAGGTCAAACTATGGAAACAAACAAAAGAAAAGAGAGTTTAGGTTATAATTCAAAAGGTCTTTAAGTTATATTTCAAAAAAAAAATCTAATAAAATATTATGATTAATTATACAAAAAAATACAACTGTTAAAGGTAAAATTACAGATTTTAAACGTCAAGTTGCAATTAATTGAAGTTATTCACGAGTAATTGATTATGAAAAATTATGATCAGTCATGATCATTATAACTTATATTTTTATAAAATGTAAGTTAACTTTTAATAGTAACAATTTCAATATTACGGTTATTTCCAGTTTTAATAAGTAGGAGAAGACGAAAAGTTAAACTTTAGTCCTAGCATAAATAATCTATCTTTAATTGAATTAAAAAAATAATTAATTAAAATATAAGTAAATTAATCATAACAAAAAAAAAGTTAAACCCACTTAAGATGTGGCTGCTATTGTGCTGACTAGTATCTTTATTGAGCCCAATCCTCATTTACTTTTCGGATGAACAATATATCATTGCATCTGTATTCTCCGGTCATATAAAGCTTGAATTCAATATTTATGCATGATTTATAGATGATTTTGTCCATTCTAAATTTATGTTTCGCCTGAGTTTAATTTGATTAACTTTTATAAAAATTGCATTAAAAGTAATTACTCAAAGATAATTTTAAAAAAGATAATTTTATATGTACTAAATAATTGTCGGCCATTGGATGATAGTGGTTCACACTAGTGCTCCGTTTGATATGATAGAAAAATGAGATGATGAAAGATGGACGGATAAATAAAACATCATATTTGATAAAAAAAAAAAGGAAAATAAGAAGGATGAAAAAGTTGATGAATTAACTTTCCTTCTAACTTATCAAAATCAATCCCTCCAAAATTAGAAAGAACGGAAGTGGAAAGTTAATTATTTATTCGGAGATGTATCTTATTTGTCTATATATTATATATACATTAATTTCATATAGAAATACAATGATAAAATATGTATTTATATATATATTTATATTTAAAAATAAAAAAAAAAAATTTAATTAAAAAAAATATTTTTTCATCTTAACTAGGGGTGAAAATTTTTGACTCAACACGATGACACGACTTGAACTTGACATGAATTTTATGACATGAACTTGATTATAACTCGATACGAACTTGAAAATACCCTGACACGCGAACAAGAAATATAAAAAGTTCATAATTTTATAACTCAATATGAATCTGACACGACACGACCCGATTGTCATCCTTAATATTAGACAAAAAAAAGGTTAAAAAAAATTTGATCATTTTTATTTTCCATCTATCCAATCAAATGCAAAGGAAGAAAATGTATTATTCTTACTTTTCATTCTTGAAAGATAAAAAGTGTACCCCTCCTGCTTTTCATCCTTCCTATTTTCTATCATTCTTATCAAACGGAGCATAATTTAACGGCGGACAATAATTTGATGTATACTTTTTATGTACAAATTTAATGTGAATAACATTGTTCTTTTAAAAATTCAGACAGTGCCCAAACCCAATAGATTTTTAGTTTGGCTCTGTCTATGTTTTTAGCTTGTTACAACTAACTAGTGTCATATGGAAAGCCAGTTGTAGTAACCATGATGTTGAGTATGGTGTTTGGAAATTTTGAGGATTTTGTTCACCTTATATTTAGCTCGGAAAAAGCATATTGTTTTCTCTTTCTTGTTATTTTTTTCATATTTGAGACTCAATTCAAATCTAATTTAAGAAAGCTTGCCCATTCTTTAAAAACTGGAATCCAATCCGTATCTCCAACGGATATTATTTTCATTCCTCAGATTGAATAATTAGAGTTGAACATGAGCAAATTTTATTTACAATTCATCTCAATTTCACTGTATAATCTTTCATTTTACACGCGCACACACTTGATAACCAGAGCAACTAATCTAACTAATTAACTAATCAGTTGTAACTAATCAATTGATCTTTGCCATGTTGGCATTATGTTAGATTCCAACTGTATTCTCTATGTCTTCTTATAAATATTGAAGTCATACTCTTATATATGTATGAAGGATTTACAATGAAAAATCAGATCTGTATTTCTTTTGTCCTCTATGTGTTTCTCTATCTGTAAAACTCATCATGGTATTAGAGCCATAAGAGACGAAAGTCTTCATCAATGGCAAATTCATCATCTTCAGCTCCAATTACTCCACCAGTTTCTACTACTACTTCATCAAACCTTCATTTTCAGTCTCCCATATATCTTCTGTCTAATATTTGCAATTTGATTTCTCTTCGTTTAGATTCCATGAACTATATTTCTTGGAAATTTCAGATCTCATCATTGTTATGAGCTTACTCTTTGCTAGGTTTTCTTGATGGATCAAATCTTTGCCCTCGTAAGTTTTTATCAGATGAAACTTGAGCTCATACCACAGAGATTGATCCAAGTTATCAGTAATGGTAGATTCAAGATCAAGCCTTAATGACACTGATTAATGCTACTTTTTGGCATCAGCAATTGCTCATGTTGTAGGTTATAATACATCACGAGATGTCTGGTTAGCTCTGGAAAGAAGATTCTCCTCACAATCACGAGCAAATGTTCTTCAACTCAAAACCAGTTTGCAATCTATTACCAAAGGAATAGATTCAATTGATGATTATGTGCAAAAAATCAAAGTAATCTATCATAAACTAGCAGCAGTCTTAGTATTTGTTGAAGAAGAAGATATCATACTATATACGTTGAATGGCCTGCCTCAAGAGTACACCTCTTTCAGAACAACAATTAGAACTAGATCTCATCCTCTTTCTCTTGAAGAGCTTCATGCTTTACTAAAAACAGAAGAAATTTATGTTAATGTTGTTCAAAAAGCACAACATACTTAGTTTTCACCTACAACAATGGTTACTACACAATATAAACCATATAGCAATCAACACAATTCAGGAAGAAACAATTTTAATCAAGGACGAAGTGGCAATCGAGGACGATATGGCAATAGAGGAGGAGGAGGCAAAAATCAATATGGAGGAAGATCTAATTCTCAGTATCAGGGCTCTCATCAACAGTTTTCTACTCAAAACAGGAATCAGACTTTCAACTACAACAAACCACAAATAACTTGTCAGATCTGCAACAAATTTGGCCACAGTGCTTCAAATTGCTATCATTGTATGAATCTTTTCTATCAAGGTAATCATGACCAGTATCAATCTTCATCATCTCCAAACTCTACTATGATGGCCTTTCCAGATTCTTCTTCCTATTCTTCGGTGGATCATCTACCTGATAGTCAATTCCCTACCTCTTCTGGTTCACACAATTCGAATTACTGGCTGACTGATTCAGGAGCATCACATCATCTCACTTCAGATCTTGATAATCTTACTCTTGCTTTTCCTTATCAAGGAGATGCCAGTATTACTGTTGGCAATGCTCATGAACTTCCCATTACTCACTCAGGTCACTCTTTTCTTGTCACTCCTTCTTACTATTTTAAACTTAATACTGTACTCAGAGTTCCTGCTATTGCTGCTAATCTGATTTCTGTTAAGAAATTTTGTCAAGATAATCATTGTCTATTCATTTTTTATTCTAACTCCTTTATCATTCAGGACAAGGCCACAAAGCAAGTCTTCTATCAAGGCAAATATAGCAATGACTTATATCCAATTGTTGGTGTTCAGTCTTCATCTTCCTCTCATGTTGTTTTTCTTGGCACCAGAGTACCAACTCACACATGGCATGATCGCTTAGGCCATCCATCTTCTCCAGTTCTGCATCAAATTTTTTCCCAGTCTAATATTCCTCACAGTAAATCTGGCTTCCATTTTTGTCAATGTACTCAATGTTTGTATGAAAAAATGTCCAAACAACCTTTTCCAATTTCTACTACATTTTTGGCTTCTCCTTTACATATTTTGCATAGTGATGTTTGGGTCCTACCCCTCACCCTTCTATTCATGGCTATAAATACTATGTTTCATTTGTTGATGATTGTACTAAATTTACTTGGATATTTCCCTTGCTTGCCAAATCAGATGTGTATACTGTGTTTACTCAATTTAAACCCTACATTGAGAATAAATTGTCTCATACTCTTAAAACCCTGCATTCTGATGGAGGTGGTGAATACAGTAGTCTTCAACTCAAGCAGTATCTTACTCTTAATGGCATTCATCACATGAAATCTTGTCCTCACACTCCTCAACAAAATGGTATTGCAGAGAGAAAACATAGACACATTACAGAAACAACCATTCCTCTTCTTACCAAAGCCTCTTTA